CACCACATATCTCGACTGAGCTAGTGGACACTTCTTTTTCTTTTTTCTTTTTGTTTTTTTTTTTTGGGTCAAATAATATGTTTATGATTAATTTGTCACAACCACATATGCAAATACTTATGATCGATTCTTGTTAAAAAATAATCATTCAGTAAATAAAATCTCGTGCCCAATAATATAAGCAGTTAAAAAACTGGAAATATATAAGAATTCCACTGACATAGAATGCTCTGTTAAAAAATTTTTTCCATTTAAAATCGACTATCAATTTATTAATTAAACCACTTATATTACACACACACACACAAAAAAAAAAAAAAAAAAAAACCTCCTACCACATCAATTTGGGTAAATTTAGTGATTAGATTTTAGGGATATCTAACTTTACTCTAAATTAAACTTATAGTTCTTATAGTTTTCTTCTTGCATCAATTTGATCATAGCAATATGAATTGTATCAATTTTGTGTTCTAGTTTTTTTTATATTTTCTCAATTTAGTTTAGGAAAAATTATCAAAAAGTCCCATATAGAAATCAATTACTCCAATCAGCCCCATGAATTTTTTAATACATTGATAGGTTCTATTTGTTTTGACAACCTTACCGTGAAATTTTATTTTAAATTTTTGTATGATTTGATAGATATTTATACCCTTTCTCATTGGGGGACGTTATTTTAGGAAAGTCCAATTTTTAGATTACGTTTCCGTTATTTCAACGTAACATTCTAAAAAAACCTCTTTAATATACTTTTTTTTCCTAACGCTACATTCCGATGTAACATACTAAAAAATTCTTTAATGTACGACGTATTACACTCAAAAACTCTTTTGTGTATTTTTTTTCCAAATGTAACACTTCAACACTAAAAAATTTCTTACAATACTTTTTTCGAACACAATACTGCAATGTAACACTCCAATACTAAAAAATTTCTTAGTGTACTTTTCCAAACGTATCACTTGAACACTCTAACACTAAAACATAACACTCCAAGATAACAGTCCAAACAAATAGCTTAATGTACTTTTTCCAAATGTAACACTTTAATGTAACTTTCTAAAAGGATTAAATGAGTCATTCCACATCTACAATCTGATGGGCAAATGAATCATTCCACATCTAAAAGGATTAAATGGATTACAAAAATATATATATATATATATATATATATATAAAACTATACGGATCTCAAATCTAAAATATGGAAATTATTAATCAATCAACTTTTAATTTAATTGATAATATCTATTAAAAAATTAGACGAAATTCCACATTTTGTGTATGTATTTTTATTCTATTTGTAGATAATTGTAGAAGTGGTTGGTGAATGGATCCCATGATCTCCTCCACCGCTTTAGTATTTATTTGTCATGATTTTTCAACATGCATTCTTTTTTCGACCGAGCATTACCATGCAGTCCATTCATCATGTATGCATACTTTTTTTTGGTTGGATTCTCTTCAACCTGTGAGTATACTTTGGACTTGATGGGGCTATTTTGGAGTTAATTTGATAATCTAAATTATTCACTTTTAAGAATTTTTTGAGTAAGATATTTATGAAAAAATTAAAATAATAGAATATTAGAAACTATATATTTGAATCATATTTGTATTACACAAAATGAATGGCTATTCCTCAAATTATATTTGTTATATATTTTTTTAAGTGAAATATGATTCAAATATATAACTATCATCTTAATTTTTCACATAAATATTTTACTCAATAAATTTTAAAATGTGAACGTCTCATAGCACCAAAATCAACCCCATAATAGGCCCATTGAACCCAATTGTTCTCTCAATAATCTAAACCCTTCTTTTTTTCTTTACCATGCCGTTCATTTATCATATGTTGATGATATTAGAGGCCTTCAAATTAGTCAGTAAATCGAAGAATCGAACTAAACCGACTACTTTGGGTTTGGGTTGGGTTGTGTTGGTTTTCGAGTGCATTGGTTTGATTCTCAGTCTTCAAATCATCATACTGATATGATTGGATTGCTTATTGATTTAAACCTTGTGTAAACCGAATCACCCCTAGAACCGAACCTATATATATATTTTAAAATTTTATTTATATTGACATTTTTTCACTTAATAGGTCAATTACAATGGACATGATTGCATCTAATAAATCCCACATACAAGAATTATTAGGTGACATGAATGAATGAAGTATTAGAAGCTTGCGTTAGATTTTGTAGTTGATTTAATTTGTATTGGTTATACTAATTTTATAGCAATCTCACTTATTGAGTATACCATTCTCGTTCAGATCCTCTTTTAATTATTTTGTACCCTCTTTCTGGTTGTGTCCATATCTTTTTTCATGGGTTTGGATTTTGCAAATAAAGGACATGACAATAGACAGGTGACATGAACAGATAAGTGGATAGTAAACAAATAGACAGATGGGCAAAATTAATATACTCTTTCAAATTATTATCGTCCTTTTCGTCCCAAAAAAATAGAGTTTGGGGGCTATTTTGAAATTAGACCTATGGTTCGAGTACCCAATTTTTTTTTTTAAATTGATTTAAATATGAAAATTTTCACTAAAAAAAGAAAAACATGAAAATGAAAAATAGAAAAACACGGGTTTGAAATCAAAACAATATATCCTTCAAAACACTAGTAACTCGTCTAGTTTGGTCTGATGATATGTAATAAATTGGCTTGTATCTGAACTAGAAGTTTTCAAAAAACACAAAAAAAAAAAAAATAATAAAAATAAAATACAAATACAGTTTTAGTTTAAAGCTAAACAACATTTCCTTCGGAATCAGGTTTAGTCCAATGATATGTATCTTATTGGTAAATTGGTGTGTATCCGAACTGCGAGCATTTCAAGAAACTATGTATCTGAACCAAAATTTTCCGAATCCGACATTGAAAGGTATGTTGTATCAACTAATCTGTGGAGAAGTTTTTCCTCTACACAATGGTACCACAATTTCTTTGGCGCAAATGTTGGTAAGGAAAAAGTAAAAATGAAGGGAAGGAAATCTTCAGAAAAGATAACAAATTTATTCATATACATAACAACTAATTAAAACATAACAACTAAGCATTATCTTTGTTGTTGCTGGCCAAGGTTTGTCCTTGTCAGATGCATCCTTCCTCACCCATCCATTAAACTCTGCATAGGAACAAGAAAAATCTTTAACATAAGACAAAATCTAGGTATCCTTCCACAGTAAGTAACATGAGAAAAAGGAACAAAGCAGAAAAGGACTAATATTGTGTAAATCTTTCTACACGTCTTTCACAACTCAGGAGGACAAACGAATATCTACACAGTATTAACCGCTATTGAACGTTTCAAGTGACATATAAAAAAACTCTATCAACGTTACGTACGGAATTGTGCTGCAATCAATAGTAAAGTTAATGGTTATTCCGCGAAGATCAATTTTGCAAAGATCAGGAAGTTTCTTAGCTCTATCAACGTTAACCCCTAAAGAAGGTCCAACTTGCTTAAAACACGCACAAACAGCCCGGCGATCTGCTGTAGAATTAACCATCTGGTTCAATTGGTGGATTTGCCACCAGGTTGTAAACCTCTTGGGTACAAGTGGATTTTCAAGAGGAAAATGAAAGCAGATGGATCAATTGAAAAATACAAGGCAAGACTTGTGGTCAAAGGATATAGACAAAAAGAAGGTCTTGATTACTTTGACACATACTCACCAGTTATTAGAATAACATCCATTAGAATGCTAATTGCCATTGCATCTTTGTACAATCTAGAAATTCATCAGATGGATGTGAAAACATCTTTCTTAAATGGCGAGTTAGATGAAGAAATTACATCGAACAACCAGATGGTTTTTCTATTCCAAGAAAAGAAAAGAAAGTGTATAAATTGGTTAAATCATTATATGGTTTAAAACAAGCGTCAAAACAATGGTATGAAAAATTTGACAAGGCAATGATTTCAAATGGATTTAAAATTAATGAATGTGACAAATGTGTTTATATTAAAAACACAAACAAAGGTTATGTTATAGTATATCTTTATGAGGATAATATGCTCATCATAGGTAGTAATAATGACAAGGTTAAAACTACCAAGAAAATGTTGAATAAACATTTTGACATGAAAGATATGGGGATTGTTGATGTAATACTTGGTATGAAAATTATCAAAACATCAGAAGGTTATGCTTTGTCACAATCACATTACATTGAGAAAATACTTGACAAATTCAGCAAAGATGATGATCATCTTGTTAGAACACCTGTGGATGTTAATTTATTTCTTTCTAAGAATGTACATGAAAGTATTTCTCAATTAGAGTATGCCCAAACTATTGGAAGCTTAATGTACTTGATGAACTGCACTCGCTCGGATATAGCTTATGCAATAAGTAAATTAAGTAGATATACGAGTAATCCAAGAGTAGAACACTGGAAATCAATTATAAGGGTTCTAAGATATCTCTGATTTACTCGTAACATTGGGCTAAGTTATACTAGATATCCAGCAGTACTTGAAGGATACTGTGATGCAAATTGAATATCAGATACTAGAGACTCAAAATCCACCAGTGGGTATATCTTTACACTTGGTGCACTACTACAAAAATAGTTAAAGATCACACTTTGACAAATAAAAATATCTCACTTTTATTGAAAGTGTGAAAAAAAAAATTAGATTGATATTTTAATCACACTTCATTTAATTGAGTGTGATAATATGCATTTTTTATGTCACTTTTTAATTAAGTGTGATTATATATATATATTTTTAATCACACCTTCTAATTAAAGTGTGATCATATATACACTATTAATAATACTTAAGGATAATATTTATTTTTAATCACACTTTTTAAATAAGTGTGATTATATATATATGTTTTTAATCACGCTCTCTAAATAAGTGATTGTATAAAATATTTCAATTTGATTTTTATATAAAATATTATTCCCAAATTCGCGCCTATTCTACCCCACGATTGATGAGAGAGCACGACTCTTTCCATTCCCAACAATTGATTTTCACAAACAGCATAGGTTTCTGAAACAAAGCCCTAATTTGTTTTCTTCATCATAGCTCCGAACCACCATTGAAGTTACTCACTCAAATTTGTCTTTTGAAATCAAAAGCCTTTTGAAATTTCTGGTGAGTTCTCTGTTTTTTGTGGCCCTTTTGTGATATATTTGCTCATATTATGATATGGCATTTACAGGTTTGGAAATTTTTGCTTTAGTCATATAATTGAATAAATGGCTGCTCTTTCTTATTATATTGATGAAAGCAAATGCATTTTTAAGATAATGTGCTTCTAATGTCAAACATGTTTTAGCTTAATAGTGACTATCTGTTTGCCATAAACAGGGTGAGACGGTATCAGAATCAGGGAAAGATGAAGGATTTGCGAAGGTATGTCTATCCAAAAAATATTTATTCATTATTCTTTTTTTCTCCTTTTCTTTTGGGTACATCGGAGGCCATAGCATGGGGGAAGAGGAAATCTTGCATAGAATTAAACCCTTGACCTCCTACTTTGGTTCTGGTGTTTTGGCCAACTGGGCAAGCTGTAGTTAGTAGTTGATTATCTATACATCTTGTTGATTAATTTATTTTTAGATTCAATTTTGGGTGTTGGCCCACATTTTTTGTTTATTTTGGGCATAACTTACCATGGACTTATGAATGGGTGTACTTGAAGTTGTAAATAGAGGTGTTATTCTGTAAAATTAATCCTTTACTGGTGCCAACATAATCTATGTTTTATTTGAATTGTAAGTTAGGCACCGTGTTAGATGTATTGCATGTGTCACATGCTTCAAGATGGCGGTGGCTTTTGGAACCAGATGATTCTAAACAAATATGAGGCCATTTGTATGTTAACTTTTCCAATCTGTATAATTTTTTGAATAAACATAAATAAGTAATTGGAGTTGTGGTGGTTCTTCGTGAGCCTTAACAAATTGGACATTAAGGCCTTGTTTGGTTTGTTTTTCTGAAAAAATTTTGAGAAAAATTCTCTACAAACAAATTTTCAAGAGTAATCAAACCAAACAAATTTTTCCAAAAAAAATCTCAAAATTTTGTTTGGTTACCTACTTTCCAAAATCACTCTCTCTCTCTCATACACATCAAATCAATCACTTTTTTTAAAACTCTCTCCCCAAAAAAAATTTCCAAAACCATTTCTGAAAAAAGGCAAACCAAACAAGTTTTCAAAAACTACTCTACAACACAAACCAAACATACCCTAATTGTTTGGAGAAATTATTTGTAGCTTTCATGACCTTGATGAATGGATTGGATCTCATTTTCACCAAAATTTTCATCAAATTTAAACTTGATGACGGATTGGAGATGTTCTAATGTGAATTTAGTTAGTGTAAATTTTGAAGCTACTAGTACTATCAAATTATTCACTTTCATTCTTTACCTAGTCGTATGAAGCTGATTGTTTGGGCTGATTGGTAAAGACTTGTTTTTCTACTTCTATAGTCCAGCGATTTTAACCCCTGAATGACATTTGTGTGGTATGTGTCATTTTGGATAACATAATAGATGCACTTTGTTGTTTTGTAGCAGAAAAGACAACAAAAGAAAGCCAAAAAGAACGCTTCTAGTGGAAGTAGAGAGTTATTGCCTCAAAATGCAACGTCATTTTTGTTTTTAACCTTGCTCTCAAGTCTTTCAAAACTCCACCATAGATACCATCGGCAATAATACGGTCATGGCATTTCTTTCTTGAAAACATAGTATAATGCAACTCATGTGTACCAATATACCTGCATGTTTAGGGGATGGATCTTGGCTATATATATCTATTGTTGGAGTTTTGTTCTACTGGTGTGCATAATTTGCATGATCTTATGACAGTAAATTGTGATTTTATATAATCATAGGAAACATTTTCACCGCTTGAGTTTTTCTGACTCTTTGCTTAATCACTTGGATGTATCCTTGTTATTTTCAGAATAGTTCATTTCTAGAGCTATTGCCTATTGTTAGGCAACAAATAATTGATGGATTCACTCCCAAGGCTATTGATGTGTTTCGAAGAGAATTTGATTTCTTTGATAAAGTGACATCTATATCCGGTGTGCTCTTTCCAAAGGAGGAATGACGAGATGGTATACAGAGGTATTTTTCTATTTTGGTTGTGTTAATTAAAATAATACTGTGTTTTGTGGCTGTTGAAGATGGATTCTAATCTTCTTTTTTAAAACAGAGAGTTGGAGAAAATTGTCTTAGCAACTGGATGTACTTGACTGAAAAGGGAATCAGATCCTTCACCCAAAGACCTTAAAATATACTTTATATATTGAGAGGGAGACAAACATTACCATAATTTAGATAAATTCTATTTAGTAGATGATTTCCTTTTCTTAATGTATGGAGCCTAAGTAACCAAGGCATGGACCAAATTGGTCCCCCCCTCCCAGTTAAATGTTTTAAAGTAGTCGAGCATTCAATTGTACATTGATATTTTATGTATCTTAACACGTAACATAGGCACCATAAACCCCACCAATTTAGTGCTTTTGCTGCTGCTGCACTTAGTTGCTGTTGTTGCTGTAGAGCTGTTTTTGCAGCTGTTGTGCCCACTGAAACCCCCACCAATTTAGTAGCTCAGACCATATCTTCCACACTTTAGAGCATTGTAACAGAACATGGTTGCTAGATTCAACTTCACTTTTACAAAAAGGGCAGACATTACTAGAGCACCATTTTTTTTTGCAAATAGTCAGCTGTTTTCACCCTCCATTACCAAGCGAACCAGCCAAAAAACTGGGTTTTGGGTGGGGCAACATTAAATCATAATAGCTTAGGCACAAGCAAATTGGATCCATGTTGGTCTTCAGCCAACCTTTTGATAGCAGCCACAAAACTTTGAGTTGAGAACATGGAAGCAAGATCAAAGAGTTGAAGAAGAAATATGTCACAAGAAGTGTGATCAATATAAGAAGAGATGCTCCTAATTTTAAGGTTTTCATTCTCTCTCTCTAGCCAATCTCTTTATCTAGACAATGTATTATAGTGGTTGATATGAAACATATTTCAAGTTTTAGCTATATATGGATCTCATGGTGGAAAAAATACATTGGAGACTTCAAATTTTTTAAGTTAGTGTTTCTACAAGTCAGGATAGCAACCATAGACTATTGAGTTAAATAATAACTAAAAGCCCCATTATTAGTTTATGAGTTGTACTATAGAGTTTTATGTGTACTTGACATCACAATTTCCATGACCATTAAAACACTCGGCAGTTAGTAAAGGTGGTTTTTTGTTTTTAGTTTTTTTACAATGATATTTGACTAAATAACTTAAAAATAATAGACATATATAGCCAAAGCTGCAATCTCGATTCTGCTCTTTTAGTCGGTTGCAAATCTGGAATGTTTGTAGTAATGCAACCAAGTGGGTAGTCGTAAGATATTTTTCCTACTAGCTAAACTGATTTTCACAGGAAGTAAATATGTGTGTAAAATTGTAATGATAGAATTAATAACAGAGAAAAAGGACATGTATACTTACGCATGATCTAAACTGATAGAAGTTGTTTTTAAATTCTTCTTCCGGTAAGGATTCAAACTCACAGAAAGAAATATTAGATTTGAAGTATATGCTGCTACACATTTGTAGTCAATCACATGATATAACATAATTATCACATAGAAACAAACAAGATAAATGGACTTTTATCTAGACCATCACAGTTATGAAAATCTTTCTGGATTTTATTTTCGATACATAATGTTTTGCCATTTCTACCCTTATAACCTTAATTTTCCCAGCCCTAAGTTTTGCTAAACACCTGTTGATGTGGCAGATATAATGATAGTTTAGAGCTAGTGCCTGAAGGCCTATAATATAATCCATGAAAATGTCTCTAGAACTGCTCTAAGAGAAATTCATACTGACCAATATTTGCACAAAAGTTCAAAAAGACATACTTTAAAACCAAAATTTGTGGAGTCAAGGTAACATTGAGCTTGATTCAATAACCACTTGACATACTATGTAACGCCCTCAAAATAAACCCATTATATATATATCACTGGCATGCAATATTAAAAGAAACCAATTCATTATCTCATCCATCAGAGTATTACAAAAAGAAAACATTACATGTAATATCAAATTAAATGCCCTATGGGCTTACATCTTTCCAAGCCAACACCTGGACACAAAAATATGAGTTCTAACTCAAATACAAATAAAGCCCTAGGCTTGAATGTTTATCAAATAAAAACAAATAACTAAAGATAGTCTTCAAAATCCAAATCTTTCCAAGCTAAGTCCTTGGAGGTAGCTTATCACCTGGACCTGAAAATGATGTTCCCATAAAGGGTGAGCCACAGCCCAGTAGAAATATACTAAACCAAATATAAGCATTGATTAAAGGAATAGCATTCAATAGATGGTTAACCAAGATAATCAATTACATCATTTTACAGTTTCATGACACTATTGTCTAAGACACGTTTTACTTTCCAGCTTTATCAATATGGCTCAGAACCTGGCCAAACTTACAACAGTGAACTATATACATCATATTCACATTCTTCCAATATCAACAAACAGATGAGACTCAGGCTCAAATCAAAACACTTCATACTTCCAGTTTGATACACATTTTAGTGCTGTATCAATAAAACACTTCAATATAAATAAGTACACATAAAAGTGATGCTAATGGAGTCCATCCCCTATCTCCTCCCAAACAAAATCCGGTTTAGAGGTCCATCCCCTATCTTCCCCTAAACCGTGGAGTACATCCCCTATCTCCTCCCACACAAAACAATGTATGCAAACACATAACATAAACAACACACAATCAATACACATAATGTCTGTATTAATTCAGCAGTCCAAAATTGATGACTTAATCAATGATTAGTTTCAGTTATCCCTAATCCACATGCAGTGTCTACAACAAGCACGGCTATCCTCCACCGATAGCCCAAAACAGTTATTTCTAAACTGAAAATAACTATATCAATAATTCAATAGACAAATGATTCAAATTCTCCAACTACGCCATTTAATCAATGAATTCCCCAATTCCATGAATTTAACCATATTTTCCCAATTCCATGAATTAATTATACAAATTAATTTATTAATACAACTAGGGTTTTTCCCAAAATTACCAAAGTATCCCCAACATATCGAAATACCAAAACTTAGAACAAAACTTATAAGATGGAGTAGGAAATCCCTACCTCAAAGAAAATAACCCGAATGGAGAAGTCCGAGATGAATACCCAAATTCCAATGTGCTCCAAATTACACAATGTTCAGGTTAAATGGAAGCCCTCGACTCACTCTATCTTTTTAATAAAGGATCTAAGGTAGAAACTCACTCTAAGTAGATCAATCTTAAGAGAGAAGGTGTGTAGAGGGAGAGAGAACTCGTAACTACAGTTTTGGAATCTGAAAGTATAAGAAAAACTGATCTGAAACACGCTGCTGCCTATTTAAACCTGACAGGCTCGCTCGAGCGAAGACTTGGTCGCTCGAGCGACCAGACACACGAAAACCTCGCTCGAGCGAAGAAAAGCTCGCTCGAGCCAAGAATGCAATGCTTCAGGTCTGCAACCCTGGAGCACGCTCGAGCGACAGAATGCTCGCTCGAGCAAGGAACTCGAAAACAAACACCTCGCTCGCTCGAGCGAAGAAACTCTCGCTCAAGCGAATAAGCACTGCACTCAGGTCTAAACCAGACGCAGTCGCTCGCTCGAGCGAAGCAAAGCTGGATCGAGCCAGAAGACACAAAAATAAACCTCGCTCGAGCGACCAAATCCTGGCTCGAGCGACCAACCCAAAAACTGGACAGCAACACTTGGTTTACGAACCCAACCAACCTGAAACAAACTTGCCCAACACATCCTATAACTCCAAATGAGGAAATAAAGGACGACAACAACAAATATACAATGACAGAGTAAACGGAACCCAAGTCCGGATACAATAATCAAATGGGAAAAGACCGGGGTCGCTATATACTATGTGTCCTCAGCCATTAGGATGAGTAACTTTAAGATAATTCACAATATATAGTAGGAATAAATAAAATACTCAACATATGTAAGGAAGAACCATCACTTTTGAAAGGCCATTATAAAGAGATCGTTCTATGAAGATGTACATATATATATCACATAAAACATAATTTGAAAGTTAAAATTAAGCACAAGCTGTTATCATGATTCACTAATGTTCATTCTGCTCAACTTCTTCCATGAAAACATAGCTCATGAGGAACAACTACTAGAAAGAAGTTTCATACCTATGCAAAGCCTGGTCATCTGAAAGTTTTCCTTTTGCTCTAAACCAATACCTCAAACTATAACAAAAATAATTGTGTTCCAATGAGGTGCAAATGTGTGGACATATACATGTACACCTAAAAATAGCCTATATATTCAAGACGTTAGAAAAAAGAAGTCAAAAAATGATGCAAAGAACCAGGGCTAACCTTGGAGGAGATTTAGTTTGATTGGTAGCAGTATTAGGCTCACAAAATCTTATCTTTATGGGCCATGGTACCAACTTTGTGGTGGCAACCTTGTTCCGGTAAGTTCTGTTACAAACCGATTGTCAGGCTTCACTGAACTCAAAGGCTTCACTGAACTCAAAGAAAAACAATGAAGGGTATTTGTTATCTCAAAATACTAACATAGCCACCACGTTTACTCAGGATAATCTTTTTTACAAATCAAATTATTTGACTACACAACACAACTATAGCATATCACATTACAAGAGAGAGGAAAAACAAAAAATCAACAAAGAAGGTAAATTTTATTTGAGATGGAGAAAGGAAAAATGAAAGATGCCAACACGCACAAGCACTATCTTGTAGATAGGTTACCAATACAAAAAATTTCTTCTTCCTCTTTTTTAATTTATTTTATTTGTTTTTCCAGCTTTGTCTCATCGATGGAGAAAAGAATACAAAGCCATTCTTCTACACCTCTAGGGGTTTAGTGGAAACTAAGGTAGGTTCCCAGAAGAAACCAATTCAATAATATTATTCCCCAAAAGAGCAAACAACACTAAGCATAATTTTAAGCTCATAGAAGTTTTAAAAAAAGTTCTTCAAAACTGTAGCATGCCCCAAGAGGCATCTTCATTTTGACCCACTTTCCAATGGAAAAGGCTCATAAACTTATGTAGCTATAGGTTCACTTTTGAAGGTACTATTCAATTTTTCTAATTGTGTAC